GGAAGGAAGAGCAGATAAGGAGGAAGGGAATCTTTTCACTCAGACTGTATAATGTTTTTACATTGTAAACTAATGAGAAACTGAATTTGGCACTAAAATGTAAATTCTCTACTGTGAATTCCTAATTGTGGTTTTAATGTTTTTCTAAATGCTGAAGATTTCTTCAGAATTTGTTTTAAGGGAACTAAGAACATTTCCCACCCCTCATCCCCAAGAATGACAGATTCATTGTTTTACAACTAGGAGATGAAGGTCATCTCACCAATTATAGAAAGATGGGTTTGGGGATCATGCTAGTGAAGTTTGAGGTGGGAAAAAATAAGAACCAGCACTTAGAAACTGCCTGCCTATCCTATTAACCCTTTTCTGGCTCATGAAAAGAGAAAAAAAAAACAAACTAAGAAGTAATTGAGTTTGATTGGAACATTTAGTTAGATACTAAAGGATTCTTATAAACTAAAGTACTGATCAATTTTAAAATAACTTTTTAAATTGATGCGTGTCTTGAAATTAGAAACTTTGCTGTAAATTACATGAGACTCCTACCCATTTTTGTTATAGATTATGTTCATTCTGAATTTTAAGAACTGTCTTGTTTCCTCTCTACAAAAAAGAGAAATTTATTTAAGGAAACAGAGGGTAGGATGGGGAGAGGCAAGCCTGAACTCCCTAACAGACAAGCTGCAATAGCTTGGGGAAAATCCTACCAGTTAGGTCCATTACTGAGTGATAAGATGTGGTAAGGCCTGGAAAAATTATGGAAAAAAGGAAAAAATTGGTTATTACTGTATGGGGAAAGGTACAAGAAAAGACCTTGTAGACTCCCTTTTATCTGTAAACTGAAACCATCTGTTTCAGCAAGGTCATCAGCCTTATGAAAAGAGCCAATTTATGGGTTATGGAATTCCTAAACAATGAAACTGGGTTACTGAGAATTTATGAGTTTGTTTATAATATAGAATTTCTAATGATTGATCTTTATACCAGGATGAGTTTAAACTCAAGAAGAAGAAAAGAAAAACAAGTGAAGGATGTTAAGCGAAATCTTTTGTGCATACATGTGTGTATCTGTCCTGGTAAACTTTTATTGCTAATTACAACTCCATGAGAGTAAAAATAACTATATCTAGCCTTAGCCCTAAGCTGTGATTAGTGAAACTTGCCATTTGACATAAAAACTCTTGGGACTGCAACTGATATTGTTTTGAATTTAGGTACAGTTGTCTGATGGATCATTAAGTCTGTAATCCACCATTCGAGACAGGTGGAGATGTGTATCTGGGAAAAAGCCAAGATGACAGCCTTGGCATAGCTGAAGGTAGGAGCCTCCTGACTCAGTTTCCCTATTGTTTTACTTCCATTTGAACAGAAATGTTTCCCACCTGATTAAACTTGAGTCTGGCTGTGAGGTGGAATGATTACTGCATAATTGGTTATCAACTGTGACTCTTAACCTGAAGTCAAACAGAACTAAGGATGTTTTATCCTGCCATACATGTGTTGAGTCATTCTGTGCCCTTAGGCTTAGGCATGGAGGACCAGTTTGATGCTGTTATAATCATGCTCTGCTTTTTTGCTTTTATAGCAAATTTCTATAATCAAAGCAAGTGGTCAATAGAAGATATGAGCACAATGCAAGAATGTAAGATGTTACTGTTTTCAATCTGAATGTGTAGTCATTCCATATCCCAAACAACTAAGTAAATTAGTGCTTGGGCTTGTCATCTGCCTAATACTTACATAGTCACGTATAAAATTAAGTCCCTGAAATATCTCATTCTTTTAGAATGTTATGGGAATAATTGGACAAAGATGAAACTGCTTGTGAAACAAAGGTGTGAGTCTATTAATTTGTGAGTTAAAATCAGAAACCTGTTTCATTTTAAAGAGTAGAATCTCATTGCAGTCATCTTAGTGAAGAGTAATGTTTTTGTAATATCTATTCGATTTGAATATGGCTAACAATTGAACGTGTTCTCTACTAGAAGCAACCCCTTTGATATACAATGTTCTCTGTATACAAATGGGAATTAGTGCATCTAATTGGGAATATTAGGCCTGTTCCAGGCCTTTTGTTACAGGTGGAATAAAGTCAGCCTCTGGTAAGTAAATTCATTTGTGTAACCATTGAACCTAGGGGTGGAGGGCCTCTACCTGCAAAGAGTGTTTGTTACCTACCTAGGATTAGATATATAGAATTAGATTCTTAATAGCATCTGATCCTCCTAAAGGAATTGGAATTGGCTGGAGTGAAAAATTCTGAGAAAGCAACAAGATCAGACAATCCTGTATGTTAAATGTAAATTATTCTAATGGGGTATATAAAAATCTAAATTCTGTGACGTTTCAAGTGAACGATGGGTCCCTAGTTTGATCTTCTTATAGCTTATCAACATATCAATATATATTGAAAAGATTAGAACCACAAGGTTTGAGCTAGTTTTCACTATATAAACTACTTATTGGAGAAGTAAAATTTGAGGGGCTGTGCTAACTTGTATTGAGATCTTTTTTGTAAAAGATTTTAGCAGGAACATCTAAGGAGTCGCTATAAGTAACTTGGGACCAGAGAAGCAAATCTACTTAAGGGAAGTCCACTTCAGCACTGTCCAACAGAAGATGTTTCCAGAGAACAGACAACCACATTGAACATCTGAGATCCAAGATGAAATCTGCTGATTAAACGGACATTGGGAGTGAGTTACTGAAATACAAAAAAGACTTGATGTTACTTAATGTTGATGGTCATATGATCATTATTGTACTATTTGGCTCTTTGTTTCACTGTATCTGTATACTGAGTTCTCTCAGTTATCTTTGTGTCATGTAAATTTCTCCTCTAAATTAGTTTATAGTCTGAGACGCTCTTATCATGACTTGTACTGTGACTGATCACAGTCAGGGAAAATTTTGACAGGTTTCTCATTGACAAAAAGGGGGAAATTGAGAAAAATCAAATGATTCTGATTCCATTTTGTAATTGATTCTCCTCTGTATCACCCCCAATATGTTGTATAATTGTCCAACCCATGTTTCTCTTGTCTCTAAACTTAGTTCAGAAATTCAGCTGGCCTGTATTAAGTTAAGTTCAGAAATCTAGTTCTCCCACTAATCATCAAATATCATTGATTCTTCCTTCACCTCCTGAGGGGTGGGATGGAAGAAAATTGTAACAACTGTGGTAATTTTCTTACGGGGCATATTGTTTCTCTATTTGTGCTTGTATTGCTGTTGTGGGTTCTGCGTCCGCTACAGTTCACTGGTAGCCTCCTCTGCTTCCTACATGTTATCAAAACCACTCATATACCATTAAAGGAACCTTGTGGAAGATAGTATCAGAAAGACTGTATGAGCAGGTCAGAAGGGGTGGCGCATAGGAGGTAGCCAGAGTTGGAACGTGACCTAAGACTCCACAGAGAATGTAAACTATCTTGAGTAAATGTAACTGGCAAAAGAAGCTCCAACTATCCATTGGGAAAACTTGCACGTGACCCTGGGCCATCCCTAGAACTATGTCTTCTTTGTTCTGTTTCTATGATATCTTATCTGGCTTGATGGTGATGTGGGTATCCAAGATGTTACTTTATGCTACTGCCACCCAGGACAACTGGCCTCTGTGAGGAACTCGCCCGATTAACATACTTAATCCTAATAAAACGTACTTATAATCAAGCTGGCATGGTCCCCTCTTTCTTTGGTATCTCAGTATCTTCTCAAAAGGTATGCCACACTACAACTGGCATAACAGACCTGCTCCCTTACAAGTATTTTGCCATTTCCTTCTCCAGCTCATTTCACACATGAGGAAACTAAGACAAACAGGATTAAGTGATTTGCCCAGGGTCACACAGCTACAATTGGCATAATTAGGGCAAAATGGAACTGCCACTTACAACTGGCACAGTCAGCAGGATAATTTGCCCCCTGACAATTGGCACAATCTGGGCAGGATAGTTTGCCCCCTTACAGCAAAACAAATATCAGTTTCAGGGGCAGTGAGATCATAAAGGAGGATTAAAAAGAAATTATAAGAAGATGAAATCAAAATCTGCACTTAGTGAAGAAAGGAGAACAGAGGACTAGAAACAGACCACCCTTCCCTGCACTAGAACTGAAAAGGCCAAACAAAACAGGACCAAAACTCTAAGCCTATTTCTCAGGAACACGTGGCCTAAGGGAAAGGGGGATATGGTACTCTGGGCCTTGCCCCTTACCACGTGACATCACCTGCTGTGAGTGAATGAGTCTACTCCTAAATATAAATGCAAACAAATGAGAGTGATTATGCTCTGTTAGGTAGATTTAGAGATTCAGCCATTTTCAGCAGCTAAAAGAAAGAAGCTGCTCTCAACCACTGGCAGGCCAATGCAGAATGTCCATGCTACACCAGTCCTCCTGTATCCCAGAAGCAGGATTCTGGCACCTCTAACATGAATGCCTCCATCTTAAGTGATCTGGACATGTGCCAAAACCTATCTTTCGTGTGTGTGTGTGTGTGTGTGTGTGTGTGTGTGTGTGTGTGTAAAATGACATAGTATTCAAATACTTAAAGGAAAAGTTAACAGAATTACAGTTACTAATTGAACTAGATGATTCTTTAGATAGATACATAAAAAAGAAAATAAGGACCTGAATAAAAACCTAGAAAAACTAGATAGATATGATAAATCTCTGGCAATTATTGAATGGGAATATAAAGGAGTGTATATACACATACACACACACACACACACACATCAGCTATGAATGACACTTTTACAAAAATTGACTATGTGCTATACAGCATAAAAGCCTCATAAACAAATGCAAGAAAACACAAATACTAAACACATTCCTTACTAACTACAGCACGATCAAAAGTACAATTAATAAAGGCCAATTGAAGAAAGGATTCAAATTTAAGTGAAGACTTAATTTAATCCTAAAAAATTAGGAGGGGGTGTCAAAGCACAAATCATACAAACAATTTTCAAAGAAAAAGTCAATGGTAGACAACTTACAACTTTTGGGATGCAGCCAAAGCAGTCCTTGGGGGGAAGCGTGTCCATCTAAATACTTTGATCAACAAAAGAGAGAAGGGGCAGATCAATAAATTAGGAGAGTAACTAGAAAACAAGAAAAGCACCAAAGTAAAAAAACTCCAACACAAAAATTAAAATCCTGAAAATTAAAGATAAAATTAAAACCAGCAACAAAAAAATCCCTTATATTACTAAATATAGGAATTTTGAAGTAAGAAAGGAATTCATACTTTTCATACTAATCAATATGTGTGTAATGAATATACTAATAATTTAGTTTTTTCAAGAGCTGCCTCTCTGGCTCAGGAGTCAGAGCTAACAATGCAGTTTAAACTGATTAGTCAAAACTCTGATAACGCTCACCATCACTGAACCTTAAATGAAGTGAATCAAAGATTGTAGAACCTGTTCCTCTCACAGAACTGTGGTTCTGTACTTTAGGGGAGGTAGTCATAACTCCCAAAGCCAGAATTGTTGTGTTGTGGGACTTATGGGTTTCTCCTGGGAAACCACTAACTGATTATTTGTACTCCACCTTCCCCCTTCCTTCCCCACCTGTGATTTAAGTATATAAACTGTGCTTTCACTTCAGTTAAGAGAACATTCCACACTCTGAAACTGATTAAACTACTTGATTATGGGCACTCCCATCTCTTGGCCTGCTTTGTGTGGCTCTGAGCATTCTCAGGTTAGAGACTAGCTTAGTAAAAATCCTGCTAATATTAACTGGTGTCAGAAGTTCTTAAGGTGTGAAGCCTTGAGCTCTTCAAGTATGGGGAGAAGGGACAGGCACCACTGGATTTTTTTTTTCCAGAAATTCTAACTCACTTAACTGATAAATTTAACGCTCCCAACTCTGGCTCCATTAAGGGGGTAGGCTGTGATCAAGCCCTGCTTTTCATCGTGAGGAATGCTCCAGGGACCCTTGTCTTGATCTGGATCACTTTGGTAAGGCCTGTGTTTTTTTGTTTTGTTTTTTGGCACATGGATTTGACTTCGTATGTGTCTTTTCTCTTATAATGCAGGGCTGGCTATGGCCTGTGGTTTTTCTCTTCTCTCTTTTATAAATTCGGTCTGAGCTATGGACTGCAGGGGTTTCATTTCTGCATGCGGTAAAATTTTTTTTTGCGTAAGAGTTGCTTGTGTGGTTGGTTTTGTGTATGGTTAAACCAGCTGAAATTAACTTTTTAACTTTGGGCTTGGTTAGAATTGTGGAACATTTACTTCCTTAATTCAAGTGAATTGCTAGCACAGTGTGGAATACCTGTAACTGTATACTTGTATTTTGGGTATGTGTTGTTATATCCCCTTATAATGTATTTGTGTATACTTGTTAGTTAAATGATGTTATTATCTTTGTGTGTTCACATTTAAAATGGGACAGATGTGTGGTAAAGGCATGGGGGAAGATACAGCAGCTCCTATTAACAAATCCCCAGAATAAACATGTGCCTTTCAAATGTATAAGAAATATGGTCTTGACTGTCCCTTATATATTGCCAGGATTGGGTGGATTTGACAAATCATGACCTCAAACTTTGTTGGCCTTGTTGGAACAGCTTTGATAAGAGCAAATTAGAGTATTTAAGGCAGAAATTGATGAATAAGGAAACTCAACCTCTTGAGCAGGACAGCTATAACAAATGATATTCAGAGGCAAGGGAAAGACAGCATAGGTCTGAATTAGAATCAATGAAAGAAAGGATTAAATCATTTGAAAATTTTCTCCTTAACAACTCCCAAACTACCTAACTACCTAAAATATACCCACCTTTACCAAAAGACTCCACCCCAGTTTCTATGTCCCCTTTCAAAGTGAAAGCCAAAGTTCTCACAGGAAAAAACCCCCGAGGAGAGTGGCTCGATCAGTACCTATAGTTTCAAGCCCTGACTGGCAGTGTGGAGACTTCCAGGGTATTGCCAAGACAATCCTAGCCCCAGGGAGTTTCCCACAGGCTTTGTTGGGCAGTTCCCACTAACCCTGTATTCACACAGACCCGGGTATCTGGATCTGTATCAACTCATGGTTGCCTTGGTTGGGAAGGAGACTAAGAATTGATGCCAAAAGGCCGGCTGGGAAGACCTAGAGAAGGATCTTAAGACAGATTGGGACTTGGAGGGCCGAGGAAAAGAGCATTATCAGCTCGCCCAAGTTATGGGTGAAAACTTCCTTGAGGCCATACCCCTTGTATTCCCCTGACCCACTGATTTAACAAAGGTCCAAGATACTAAACAGGACCCTGGGGAATCTATGAGTTTTATGACAGACTTGCCCAAGCCTTTGATGCCAATTCCAGTCTCCAGCACAAACGATAGTGCAGTAGGGCAAATTCCATTTCTTTCCTACTTTGTCAATAATCTTCACCCACCAATTTCTAAGCAAATTAAGCTATTTCTGATCGGCAACACTCTGACATTGGGTTCCTCCTTGAGACCACAGCACGACTGGCAGCTACTCTGGCAGAGAAGGATGAAAATGGTAAAAAGGAACTTAGAGACGCAAAAAAGAAATTTTTCCTTGCAACCCCTCTGCAGCAGCTGCAGCCTATTCCTTACCATCCCAGACCCATCCCCTATTGTCTCCGGCAGTTCTTCCCTGTACCATCAAAATCAAACAGGCCAGGAGTTTGTTTTAATTGTAGAAAATCTGGCCACTGGAGGAAAGACTGTACAATAGGGACTGGGGAAGATGCTGAAGGGAAAAAAGAGAAAGCACCCCAGAAAGCACTGCCAGACGCTCCCTGCAATCCTGATCACTCAGCATGACTAGGCTTCAGGGAGGGGTGGCAAAAGGAGGGGGATGTACAGGTCACGTCTACCCCCATGATTCCTGTTGGAGATGTCTCCTCGTGTATACAAGGGCAAGAAGGGCCTGCTCTAGTTGACCCTGGTGCCACACTCTCAATTTTAAACCTGCCTTCCCCATTCCCCTCCCCTGAGGGAAGAGAGTATCTCAGTTGTGAGGATTGCTAATAAAACCATTGTAGCTCACATCTCAGAACCATTCTTTCTTTTTATTGGAGGGATCAGTGCCTTTCATCCTTTTGTCCTGGTCACTTACTAGGACATGATCTGCTCCATAAACTACAGGCCATTATTGCATTTGACCCAGGAGGGACCACTTCCTTTTGTCCTGTATCCCCAGCACCTTCCTTAAGCCCTTCCAACCATCTGGCCATCAACCAAGTTCCCTGTAGTTTGTGAATCAGTGCCCCACCTATTGTTGTGCCCTATACTTCCCCTGTGAACATGCCCATCTTTCTGAAAGCCTGGTGGACAGGGCTAGCAACTGGTGCATCATCTCTGAGCAGTTAATGATATTGTAATACCCAAAGCACCTGTTGTGCCAAACCCCTACACTTTTCCACCCTGGGCCACTTATTTCATAGTGGTTGACCTTTGTAATGTCTTCTTTTCAACTCCAGCTGCCCCTGAAAGCCAATTCATTTTTGCTTTTACCTGGGAGGATGCCAATACACATGGACTGTCCTTCCACAGGGATTCACTGAGTCACCATCCTATTTCTCACAGATATTAAAACAAGACTTGTCCTCATTAGATTTTAAGGACTGTTCTCCTCCAATATTTTGATCACCTCCTTTGTTTCCCTTCCCAAGATATTTCTGCAGGACTCTGCATACTTCCCTAACGGTTTAGCAGCAAGAGGGCATAAGGTATCTAGGGACAAACACCAGTTTGCTCTCCCCTCTGTAAAGTTCCTAGGACATCACCTCTCTGCCTCCAGCCTTTGCCTAGATTCAGCCTGTGTTAAAGCCATCATTCAGTTTCCTGTACCCCACACCAAGCGTCAGCTCCATACCTTCCTTGGTCTGGTAGGCTATTGTCTTCTCTGGATCCCTGACTTTTCAGGTATTGCCTTTATAACCTCCTGAAGGATTCTGTATCTGAGCCCCTGGCTCTTTCCCCAGAAGCTCAAAACTCCTTTGATTCTCTGAAGTCTGCCCTCCAACAACCACCAACTTTAGGCCTTCCCAACTACACTCTCCCATTTGATTTATATATCTCTGAGAAAGGAGGGAATGCAGTTGGCATGCTAACACAAAAACATGGTGAAAACTTTCGTCCCATGGGATACTATAGTAAAACTTTGGACAGTGTTGCTAAAGGCCTCTTAGGCTGTCTTCTGGCAGTAGTGGCCACAGCTGTACTTGTATCTGCCACTGAGGATATTTGTCTTGATTTTCTCCTAACTGTAAGTTGAAACACTCCTAAATTCACACCATACTCAGCATTTGGCCTCTAGCAGGCTAGCCAACCTTGAAGTGACTCTGTTATCCAAGTCTAATTTGACCATCAAACGTGTCAACACACTTAATCCTGCCACCTATCTACCTGAGGTAGAAAGTGAGGATGAGACTTTAGACCATGACTGTGTAACTTACTTGGATGTCTTGCTCCCCGCCTCCACCTGAAAGAAACTCCCTAAGAGGGACTTTGACTGGTAGACTGATGGACTTGGCTCAGAAGTGAGGAAGGAGACTTGGCTGCCAGTTATGGCATCACCACCACCACAGAAGCGGGTGAAGCTTCATCACTACCTGATGCTCATTTGGCACAGCAAGCCGAGCTCAAGGCAGTAGCCAGGGCTTGTGAATTAGGAAAAGGACAAAGGATTAATGTTTACCCTGATAGCAGGTATGCATTTACTGTGGCACATGATTTTGGGATGCTATGGAAACATCGGGGCTTCCTCACCACCTCAGGACAGCCCATTAAAAATCAGAAACAGGTTTCCCATCTATTAGACTCTTTGCTGCTTCCCCAAGCTGTAGCAGTAATTAAAATTCCATGACGCTGTCAAGAAAACAGCATTCATGGCCGTGTAAATGACTTGGCTGACCAAGCAGCTAAAACCTCAGCTTTAACTCCTCAAATTCCTAAGGTACAAGTCCCCAACCATCTTATAAAAGAGACAGCCACTGCCCAGAAAAGAATGCTTATCACAAAGCAAGAAAAAGGAGGGATGTAAATTTGATAAGACTATGGGGGCCCAAATGGACTTACAGTACTCCCTAAGAACTTTTCCCTCCCTATGATGGAAACCTTCATTCATTCAGCCATTGGGGACCTGACAATCTAGTGGAGCTAGCTTGAAAATATTGGTGGGGGAGTTTTTACAGAGCCGCTATCATCACCTATGAGATGTGTCACACCTGCCCCAAGAACAATGCATCCAAGCCTCTGCAGCCAGCCCACAGATAGTTTCCTCTCCCGGATGCACCCTTTGAAACCTGGCAGATTGACTTTATTCAACTGCCACCTGCCCTTGGATACAAATGTGATTTGCTTATGATCTGTATGTTTTCCCCATTGGTGGAAGTGTTCCCCTGTTGTACTGCCACAGTCTATGGGGTAGCAAAAAATCCTCTTAGAAAAAAAATCATTTCCTTATGGGGGGATGGCATTTCTAAAGAGATACATAGTGATAGA